ATATCATGTTTTTGCAAATAGTTCCGTAGGTACAACAAAAAAGTCGGTTTGACTGATGGTATATTTCGTTCAGACAAATCTTTTCTCGAATGGCGCATAATACGAAATCCAATTCCATCCACGTCTATAACAATATTGGCAATACGCGCAGTACCTATATATATGTATGCATTGTATAATGTATTATAAACGTATTATGTGTTCAAGTTCCGGTGCTCGAATCACAGACCACATTTTATTATTATATATTTTACGTCTGTACACGAAACATGAAATTATTGTATCGCGTATATATTATTATAAAGGAGCAGGCAAACACTGCCGATATATTATTATTATGTATATCCTCACACATATATACACGGCGAGTCCCAGATGTGTATAATATATATGTATGTGATATGTATATATGAGCAAATATACACCGTTGATGCTGCGACAAGTTTTGACTAGTGTGCGATAATAATTCCATTTTATAAGTTGACGGGAACCCTCTGCATCACTCGAGGAGTGTTATTGAAATATTTACCGGAGCTTTCCATCCCCTCGTCGCTTCATTCTTGCACACAAAACCACCTCCACGCACGCGTTCCAAATAATGATGACGTCGATTGGGTGGGCACGAGCACATTGTCGTGCACTCGCGCGGTGCATATTATAATAATATTATATTATATACGTATACACACGAACCTGTATACCGTCTATATGTTGTGTTCGAACGAAAAAATACACTTAGACGATGATGATGATAATAATAGTAATAATGGTATTTACATTCTTGTGAATTCGGAGAGTAAAATTTGTCACATTAAAATTCTTGTCGCATAAGGTTTGGAAACAAATTTTTTTAAATCGCAGTCCAATGAGCCCTGTAAAAAATATTCTTTTTTCTAAAAAAAAATGTTTTAAATCGAACCTTTTTACAACTCTAAACAACTGTGAACTAATTTTTAAGTTTTAATTAGGTAWATAGTGGACCATTTTTATTTTAATATCTTATAATCAGAAAAATACTATGCATTTAGTTTTGCGTGAAAACTTTTTATAAAAATATGTAGACGATGATGRCATAAAAAAATACGTATATGTAAGATGTATGTTCGATCAATCAATCTGGCTGAAAACTGTTGTCCGAAAGTCCAAACTGTCTTATTTGCCACTTGAACAAAAAAATAAAAAAATATTAAAATATGTAAACTGTAATTAATATATATTTAGGTTTATATGTATTAAGTAATATATTTTGAAAACCACATCGATGCCTTTGATATTATTTTTTCAATATCCCATGAAGACGGTGAAGAAAAAGAAATTAATATTATACTATAAATTATTATTATTATATTATTGACAGTTCTACGCTATAATGCCTATAATATATCATATCATATTATACAATATTATGGTTTCGTAGCTATTCGTTTTAATCAAAGTGTAATTATATACCTTGGAGGCCGAAGGCTGTAAGTTAWAGTTTGTAAATGAAGACTATATAAAAAAAAATAAATGTAATAAAAAATGAATTCGTTGACAATAATGTTCACCGGTGACGTTAACGCATGACATATAATACCGGATTTTTGAATTACTGCAATATGTTATGACCCTTTGAGTTTATATAGGTATAATATGATGACGATGATTTCGTCGATATAGATCAATCTCCCTATAGTCTTTGCGATATGGATAATTTATCGTTTACCAAGCCACGTAGTTTGTATAATATAGGTACTTATATTATATAACAGTGATGGCGAATCTTTGGCACGCTTGCCAAAATCATGGCAAGTTTCCCAAATTTTAACGGTACATAGAAATATTTTTATCTCAGTGTTTAATCACAAAATTATTTATTGTTTAAAAAAAATAAAGTCTTCAATTAAAAAAGTAAGGTACTCACAAACACAGCTTTAAAAAAAAAAAATGGCTCATTTAAAATTAACTTCAAATTTGCATAAACACGCATAGATATAATTTCCACAGTGAATTATTTCAAATTCAAACATTTATGAATAATATATTATTATTAAATGAATATAAAAATGCTCTTTGTTTCATCAAAACATTTAAAACATTAATACGAACGAAATACACAATAAATGATATCAAAATAAATTCAGGGAATTTTTTTAAAATTCCACATAACCTTGAGAAAAWTTTTTATAGGTAACTATGAAGCACGGACACTGGCACGAGCATTKTTTTCAAACATTGATAACCAAATGTTGGCACGTGGTAGGTATAACATGACCCGAAAAAGTGGCACCACCTCGGCTAAATATAATATATCTATCATGGAACCCCACACGAGAATGCTCAGTAATGCAAATTATTTTGTTGAAATATATTAATAAAAAAAATTAAAGAATATTTAAGCCTGCAGCTAACAGGTGACACTATATACCTTATACGAGTGTTACCGATTTGCGCCAAAAAAAATTAATTCGTTTTGGGTACAGTCCATTTGCGCCAAAATGTTATTAATTATACTCATAATATATTAATATTTTAATATATTCATTGTCTTTTGAAATTACTAATTTTTACACAATTAATACAAATAAAAATAAAATTTCATATTTTAAATTACAATAAAATTGATGTTTTTTTATTAAGCCATAGGCAATCTGAACAAATTGGTTATCCGTACGACCCCTTTCCCCAATCTCGTTCGGATTATCGAGACCCTACTATACGCTTATATAATACGGGTATAAAATACTTAAACACTAAATGTATTACTAAATGTACATTCACACCAAACACTAATAAGTATATTAATGATGTACATAACATTTTATGAAGTATAACTTTTTTGGAAGTTTGCATAATTGCCGTATAACGTCCAACGATATGTTATGTATTATATATGCACTATATACTATATACACGTAACACGACATATACTGTACTGTTCCTAAACATTAAGTTAGGTTAACGTAGGTGTTTCATTTGTGCGAATTTAAAAATAATTTATACCGTAATTAGAGTGAGTTTTTATTTGGGTGAATAAAACATGTGAGAACGAATGTTTTTTTTTTTTTTTTTTTATTAATAATAAGTGTAAAATATAACATTGTGGCGTTAGTTATGCACTGCACGCAACCATTCTGAGTACTATGTATATTATTATAACAAGCGCGTATGCCGAAAAACACTAATAATATTAGTATTTTCGTATTATTTCTAATTTTAAAATAGTTAATCACAAAAATAATATATTTTATCTAAATTTATAATAAAACTGGTTTCCTAAAACTGTGCATTCGTTATCGTTTGAATAGAACCTCTGCAACGGTGATTAGTTATTGTTATCACTGTCTAGCTTATCATACTGCCATGCTTGGTATATATAGATTATTATGTATTGTATATATGTTAAGTTAAATATTGTAAGAATAACCTGTATGAATTATCTTAATGTAATCAAATTAAGAACAAATGATGAATAAATGGCGTGTTAAATAATATATTCATTATAAAGTATAAAAATCACAATATAATATTATCAGTGCAAACATTATTTGTTAATATAGGATTTATCCTATTTCAATAGAATCCTTATGGATCTCGGATATTTGATCATATTGATCAGATTGCCATGCACGTACGTTTCGTCAAACTGGAGCTTGTAGAAAACGATTTTTCACACACGTCGCYCTCGTACGGTTTTTCACCAGTGTGTATGCGTCGATGTTCTGTCAAAGAGCCACTGTGGTTGAATGATTTGTCGCAGACATCGCAAGCGTACGGTTTTTCACCAGTGTGTATGCGTCGATGTTCTGTCAATTGTCCACTATGGTTGAACGATTTGCCACACACATCGCAAGCGTACGGTTTTTCACCAGTGTGTATATGCGTTGATGTTCTGTCAATTTTCCATTTTGGTAGAAAGATTTGCCACACACATCGCAAGCGTACGGTTTTTCATCAGTGTGTATGCGTCGATGTTCTGTCAATTGTCCACTTTGGTAGAAAGATTTGTCGCAGACATTGCATAGGTAATTTTTCTTCTGCATTTTTTTGTCGGAGTGACGGCAGGCAGCTTCTATTTGTAAATAACTTATTAATATTTATTTATGTTTTTCTTAAACTATTTGGTAACTATATAACTTCTCTGCTTATAATTAGACTTTATTGACATCACCAGATTTTCAAGCCAGCATTTGATACAGTATTTTTTTTACATTAAATAAAGTATAATATTACGCTTTTACGTATTATTAGTAATTTATATTAAATTTATAATCACGATTCACAAAAAAATCAGGTTTCTAATTTTGTTTTGATACTTAATATTTAATTATATTATACTTTATATTTTATAAATCAACCGTGAAAGCTGCTATAATGTAACGTCTTATCTTGTACTGATGTATAATAATATCCCCCCCATTATATAAAAAAAAAAAAAAAACAAAAAAAAAATCCTAGGTCCACTTCTGAACCCTAGCTATTATATGTTATAATGCTATACCCACCATATTGTTAACAATTACTATAAATTCCATTCTGTTCCTATGTTTTTATGTATTGATTAGTACCTATGCTGTGTCCATTGGCAACTCACATTGTCAGCAGCTCGCTTTTAATTAGTATTAATAAAAGTTGTTTCTCTCTAGTAGTTAATGACGTTCATAACTTAAATTATAACTTTATAATAAATTGTATATACCTTCTATGAATGACCGAGTGAGTCGAGTACATAATAAATCTGATTTGATTAATTTGGAATTTATTTTATAGGTACCTATACATTTTCAGATGTTATGAAATTTATTTWGCTTTAACGAATTTGTAGATTTACATTACGAAAAATAATAATAAACCTACAGTTTGGAAAAAAAATACTGATGGTTATCATGTCATAAAATATGCATCAGGATGAACCCATGATGCAACTACGCTAGAAGAACCTAGCTTTTTTAAGCATGTAATATGATGTGCAAAATAATGTTCCAGTTGTATAAAAATAACGTTCCCACAAAAACATTGAAACTTTTCTATGAACTTACGTACAAGTACGTAAGTTATACCATGTTACTTGTAACATATTATAAAACGTCGTGTAACTGTTATCAGTAGGGCCCGGATTTAAATGCACTTAAAACCATACAAATATGCTCTAAAAAATTGCCCAAAATGTCCTTAAAAATGCATTTTACCACAAAAAAGGCGGGTAAGTCGT